TAACACGGTATCTGGTGGTGCGAGACCATTACGTTCGACCATGGCAGTGTTGTGTTTTAGTGAACAGCTATTTGTATTCGCTCACGAGGGTTTTTCCATGTCAGGTTAGGATCCTGGTCCAGCTTAGCTAAATACCGCGTGCGGATCTCAGCATCACTGGGGATGGTAGTGTGCTGACAAAAGTGAGACACTTAATCTGCTCGTCCGTTAAAGAGCGTAATTTGAAACGTTCACACTCAAGGTTAATCATGTCTGCTAGGGCCCAAAAGTCGTCCGATTCCTGTTTGACAATTTTCAGGCATTGGTAGCGAACACTAAACAGGGATACCAATTCACCAAAAGTTTTCTTCAGCTGCGACACTACTTCTTCAAACGTCAGAGCCATCGGCTGTTTGGGCAGAATGTGGCCAATGAACCTTAAATGTTCACTTATACCGAGCTTGCAGAATAGCAAGCGCATCTTATAGGAGTCGTCTTGACGAATGAAGTCCGTCCGGAACATGGCTGCATCGCGTTTGAACCACGCTTCGAAGGTGCATCCAGAATCCGCGTCGTCATTGAATTCAGTGATATCATTCGTGAGAAGACCAACAGAATTCGACTGCATGTCCTGCTTCGCAGTTTCTTTTGTCTGTAAACTCAAACATTGTGTCAGCTTTTCGATCATTTTTATTTTTACCTCCAGGTAAGCTTGTTGTTGGGCAAGCAGCCTTGAAATTGTTTAGTAGAGAAATTCATCACATTTCCAAATTTCTCCGGCGCAATTTGTTATAATCTTCTCAGTAGACGCGATTCCAAAAATAAGAATTTACTGCTCCACAAAACTTTAGCTTAATCGAAGGACAAAGCAGAACGCCAATGACCTTGACAAAATGCTTCTGTACCAAACTGCTGCGAATAGCGTCGTCCCACTGTGCATTTCAGTCCACTGAAGTCTTTTTAGTGAAGAAAAGCGATTCTAGCTTGTTTCCGGAGAATCGCGACATATTTGGACTACATTTTCTATGGCGTCCAAATGCTTGTCTTGCGCTAAAGGAGTGACTTCTCGTTCCAAAGCCGTACAGTGCTCTGGATGTGACGGCTGGATGCATATTGCTTGCTGTGGCATCGGTCCTGATCAGTATGAAGCACTACAGCGGATGACTTCTCCAGCCATTGTTTTCTTTTGTGATGTCTGCCGTACTTCCTTAAACAACAGACGTCTCGTGAATGGGCTCTCCGCGATCAGCCCTCATCCCATTCCAATGACACCCAAGGCTCCCGATACCCTGGTCCCCCTAATTACTCCCCATTCTCCCGCTTCTGCCTCCGCACCAGCCTCTCCTACAGGTAAGCGAAGTCGCGGGCGGTCTGACTCTTTCCCACAGCCGTTGGATTACGTCCATCACAGCGAGACCAAGACAAAGACATACGCATCGGTTGTAAAGGAAAGTACCACCGCATCTGGTGATATGTATAACGCCAAGACTAAGTCGAAGTCTAAATCCAAGCCTTCCTCTTCTCAGTCGCAGCTCAAATCTGTCCTTGACAAGATTAACCATTTGGAATCGCTGATCAGAGACAGCGCAAATCCTTCCCAACCGCAAACCACCAGGCGTACCCTACCACCCTCCCGTGACCGGTGTCTCATCATTATGAATGCGCCTGAGTCGACCAAAGATGCCCCAGCCGGACGGATGTTAGACGACCAAGTGTTCCTGGAACGACTTATCTCTGTGTTATTCGACGAAGGCGAACAGGGAATCAACATTATCTCGGCTTTCCGCTTAGGTAAGAAACAAGAGGATTCCCCCAAGCCTCGCCCCCTAAAGGTTGTGTTCCAAAACGAGGAAGAATGTCGACGCATTCTCCTACGGACCTCACGGCTCAAAGGCAAGCCGTTTTATGTGTTGAGAGATCTCTCCCTGGAAGATCGGATCAAAATGAAAAAAGCCGTTGATGAGCTGAGGACCCGTCGGGCGAATGGTGAAACGGACCTTCATATCGCGGATTTTCAGGTAGTTCGGAGAACTCCAAGAACCCGTTGGAGACCGATTTTTCTCACCCCAGGACAGTAACGCAAAAGAACGGACTGCGTGTGCTGTTCGCTAATGTTCGTAGTCTGCGAAATAAACTTGATGAGATCCAGACGCTTGCCGCAGATGTTTGTCCTGATTTAATGGCCTTCACTGAAACATGGTTATTCCCTGACATCATTGACTCTGAAGTATCTATCCCTGGATACCACCTTTCTCGGGCCGATCGTCATGGGAGAAAGTCGGGAGGCGGCGTGATACTATACTGGAGAGCGGATCTGAAGTCCCATCTAGTTGAGGTCTCATGTGACAATGACAGCGATTTTGATGCCCTCTGGTGTCGCATTCATGACGGGTGCAGATCTTCTTTGATTGGTGTCATCTACAGAGCGCCACTGGGCGCGGGAGCTCGCCTGTTGGAACTGATCAAGAAGCACGGTGCTGGAAAGGATTGTCTTATTCTGGGAGATTTCAATGCTCCTAATATCGACTGGGAATTCTTTCTTTGCAATCGTCCACCTGATTCCTTTGATGCCGCTTTCCTTGATACCATTCTCGACTGCAGCCTGTATCAACATGTGTCCATGCCTACTCGCATTCTCGCCGGCCAGTCGCCTCATATCCTGGATCTTGTGCTCTCCCCAGCGCAGTCAGACGTCATGGACCTAACAGTCTCCCAACCTATTGGTAAAAGCGATCATTGTACTATTTTATTCCAATGGACTCGTCGCTTTACCGTTCACAACTCATGTGCCGTTCGCCGAAATTTCTGGCGTACCGATGCCCTTCGTCTTAAAACGGCTGCAAGCAGTATGGATTGGTATATTCCCGAACAGCTCAATGTGGACGGTGCCTGGAATCTTCTGTACTCCAAGCTGACATCACTCATTGAGCAAGTTGTCCCCATTTCCAAAAAGCGACCGCTCTCTAGAGGCCCTCCATGGATCGATCGTGATCTGAGATCCCTAATGAACAGAAGACGTAAGTTGTGGGACCGCTTTAGGATCACGCGGTCAGAGCATGACTACATCAGTTACAAAACGGTTAGGAATACCTGTACCCTGCAAAAACGTGAGAAACGTCAACAGTATGAACTCTCTCTAGCCACACTTTCTAGAAACACTCCTAAGACGCTTTTCTCCTACCTCAAACGGAGCACTAGAGCGGGCAGTGGTATCCCTGCCCTGTGTTCTTCCGAACATGAGGAGCCAGTTCACGAAGACACCGACAAAGCCAGCCTCCTGGCTCGGCAATACTCTTCAGTGTATTCAACCTCAGCGTCTTTTACTGACAGAACAGTGTGCACTCCCCCTTCTCTGTTAGAGCACGTCGATATTAACACTGACGTCGTGTTGAAACTTCTCTGTGCGTTGGATCCTTACTCATCGCCTGGTCCTGACGACTTGCACCCTTTGTTCCTCAAGACTGTGGCTCAGTACATTGCTTCACCTGTCACGCAGGTTTTCCGTCGATCGTTTCAGTCCGGACTTCTCCCGACCGCTTGGAAAATGGGCATCATCAAGCCCATATACAAAGGAGGGAACCGGCAAGACCCAGCTAGCTACCGGCCCATCTGCCTTACATCGATAGTGTGCAAAATCATGGAACGGGTCCTGAAACAGGCGCTTCGACTTCATCTCGAGCGGTTGAATCTGATATCCAGTGCCCAACATGGTTTTCGCAAAGCTCGCTCCTGCTCTACCAACTTGCTTCTGGCTAGAGAAAAGTGGGCAAATTCATTGGATGTTGGCAAACGCATGGATGTTGTGTTCGTGGACTTCAGTAAAGCTTTTGATAAAGTCCCTCATGAACAGCTTCTCTACAAACTCAGAGGAATCGGTATCTCTGGAAACTTTCTCTCCTGGATTTCTGATTTCCTACACACTCGTTCCATGCTGGTGAGAGTGAACGAAACGTATTCCGATCCTGTTCATATGACCAGCGGTGTTCCACAGGGCTCCGTCCTCGGCCCCGAACTCTTCAACATCTTCATCAACGATCTACCGTCGGAGCTTCAATCGGATTGCTTGATTTATGCGGATGATTTAAAGATATGGAAGGAGGTATCCTCTCTAGAGGATGCTGATCGACTACAAGAGACACTCGATCTCCTGCACACTTGGTCGATTCAGTGGCATTTACCCATTAATCAAGACAAATGTTCCGTCCTGCCTATCGGCGCTCCTGAACCACTCGGCGCGTACCACATAGGTGGTTTCTTGCTAAAAAATGTTACATCAGAAAGAGATCTGGGCGTGATTGTTTCCCAGGACTTAAGATCCACTCAGGACACCATGAAGAGGGTTGCCGCTGCCTACAGAATGTTTCATGCCATCCGAAGAGCTTTCTGTCGCTTGACACCGGAACTCTTTAGACTTCTGTTCACCTCGCATGTGCGCCCGATTTTGGAATACGGCCTTCCTGCTGCCTACCCGCTTTCCAAATCTGAGCGCGACATGATCGAAAAGGTCCAACGGCGTGGATCGAAGTTTGTCTCCGAGTTACGTGACCTGCCGTATCCCCTTCGGCTTCGGCATTTGAACATGTTTTCTATGGATTACCGCCGTCGGCGTGGGGACTTGATCTTTACCCGTCGTATCCTCAGGGGAGAACTGGGGAGAGAGTTGCAGGAATTCTTCCACCTCAACATCGGGAGTTCGACTAGAGGCCACCAATGGAAACTATTCAAGCCACGGAGGCTCAAAGTACGGTCCATTCTTGCTCTATCCACTCGCGTTGTGAATAATTGGAACCGGTTACCGCCGACAGTCGTTGATGCACAGACAGAGGATTACTTCAAACGACTGCTTGATACACACCTGTTGAATATGCCGGGATCGTGTTGCTTCAGCTACGAGTGCGACGGCCTCTCCGGAGTTCCCGTTGCGCAATGACGAGCATCCCAGCAATGATCGGGAAGCGATGGAGCTGACAAGGGATTTCCCCTCCTGCTCTCTACTACCCCAATGAACCCCATGAAATAACGTATTAATCGCCGCCAACATACACGGTACAACTACCGCGGATCTTGGCTGTATTTATATTTCTCATACTGAGTTTCGACTTCGAGAATTGGAAGGTCAGCTACCAAGGTTGGTGGTTCCCCATATCTTTTGCCGCGATGTCAGGTGGTTTTTAGTCACCTGCAGAACTAGAACATCCCGGAACGTTCGAACTCGACAAATCTGTTGAGGCTCTCGCAGTCTTGATGTGCGCTTCCTCGTTTCTGTTTACGGTAGTGTTAGTGTATAGAAGCCCTATGAGCACCTCCAATGGAATCATTGAGTTTATACGCACTCTGCGAACAAGTGTCTGGTGCTGGGAGACTTCAACCTCTCAGAGGTTTGTTGGGATGGCCTATCTTGCAGTTCGGCTCTGGAATCGTTCGGTACAGAACTGCTGGACTTAACGCCGCAGGTATCACTACACCAGTTCGTGGACCTCCCCACTAGGTACATGAGAAATCAGCAGCCGTCAGTTTTAGATTTTAGAGAGTCGCCTGTACCGGGAGCCCAGAGAGCGATTCGAGAAGACAGATCGAGTTGCAGGGAAACCTTTATTGGTACAGTAAAAGATTCCCTGTTATCTAGCTGTAAAGGAACGACACCGTGGACGCTCTACTAGGGGAACGGAGCAAGCACAACACACAGGTCAGTCGCGAGTTGCAACCGAAACGAGGGCCAAGCAAAAAAAGATCAAAACGTTTTCATAGGTTCATAGGATTGTAGAGAGCAGGAGTAATCCTTTGTCATCTCCATCGCTTCCCGGTCATTGTGTAGAGGCCGCGATTCGATGTTATGCGGTAATCCACAAGGGACCTTGACAGCTGCACTGAAAGCTGCAAGGGCTCATCGTACTCAAAAGATAAGAGTCTAACATTCGCTTGAAACATTCCTCAGTCTGAGCATCAACCACATGCTTCGGCAAGTTATTCCAATCGTTGACTACGCGAGTTGATAGAGCGAGAGCAGGATGAATCCGGAGTCTTCTGGGTTTAAACAGTTTCCAGTTGTGGCCTCGAGTTGAACTGTTTGGATTGGATTGAAAGCGTGCCTGCAACTCCGTCCCCATCTCTCCTCTCAGGATGCGCCTGGTGAAACTCAGGTCACCGCGACGTCGGCGATAATCCAGGGTGAACAGATTCATCCGCTGAAGTCTCAGGGGATAAGGCAAGTCCCGTAACTCCAAGATGTGTTTCGATCCACGCCGTTGGACCTTCTTATTCGAAATTGGTGAGAGGGAAGACGGCAGGTAATCCGTATTCGAGAATGGGGCGGACATGGGAAGTAAACAATAGTCGGAAGCTATCCGGAGACAAACGCGAGAAGGCTCGTCGTATGGCATGGGACATCCTGTTGGCACCAGCAACCCTTCGTAACGTGTCCTGTGTAGTCCGTAGATCAGATGTCACCAACACGCCGAGATCTTTTTCAAGGATAGAGGTTCTGAGCAACCCCCCACCAATGTGATACGTCCCTAAAGGCTCAGGAGCACCAGTGGGGAGGACCTAACACTTATCGCGATGTATGGGCAATCGCCATTTGACTGCCCACTCATGTAACGTATCACATGTAGCCTGTAATCGGTCCACCTCGTCAAGACAGGATACCTCCATCCACAACTTCAGGTCATCAGCGTAAATCAAGCAGTCCGACTGAAGTTCCGCCGGGAGGTCATTGATGAAGATCTTGAAAAATTATGGGCCCGGTACCGATCCCTGAGGGACACCGCTAGTCATGAGCACAGGAGCGGAGTAAGTCTCGTTCACGTCGACTCGCATTGTCCGGTCATCCAAAAAATCAGCGATCCAAGAGAGAACGATCCCAGAAACACCGATTAATCGTAGTTTATAGAGGAGTCTTTCATGAGGAACCTTATCAAAGGCCTTGCTGAAGTCGACAAAAATAACATCCAGACGTTTCCCAGCGTCTAATGATTTCGCCCCATCTCTCACGGGCCACCAGCCCGGATTCGAAGAACAGGAGCGCGCCCGCCGAAAACCGTGCTACGCACAAGAGATGACGTTTAAGTTCTCGAGGTGGAGAAGTGCCCGCTTGAGAATCCTCTCCATTACCTTGCAAAATATTTGACTGTAAACAATGGGTCGATAATTGGCAGGGTTTTGACGATCCCCTCCTTTGTGTATGGGTTTAACAATCCCCACTTTCCAAGCGATCGGGAGCCGTCCAACTTCAAGGGAATAGTCGAAATAGCCCGGCAAACAGGAGCTGCAATGTAATCGGCCACAGTCCTGAGGGACAGCGGATGCAAACCCATCAGGACCCGGGCCGGCGAGGATTCGAATCTATGCACGAATGCCTTTGGCAACGAATTTCAGCGCTCATTTCTACATGCTCCAACGAAGAAGGGAGTATTGGCATCGCGTCACTGGGAATGGCGTCTCCATACGGGTATAACAGACGAATATTGCATGGCCAGGAGCCTGTCTTTCGCAGCATCATCGTCAAGTAAACCCACATGAGCCAAGGAATACAGAGCAGGAATACCACTGCCTGCTCTGGTACTTCTCTTCAGGTAAGAGAAGAGTGCCTTGGATTTGTGGATTTTTGTAAACTTTTGCTAAGAGCAGAAAATTTCAGACGCACGTTCTATGTAAAATAGTAAGTGCTAACGAAGTCCGAAAAACGAACTGGAGGTCTGATCTTCCTACCGCGTCGGTTGATAGTAGGGCGAGTAGGGGTGCTGTCGGCTGAGGTTGTCGGTTCTGTTGGAGCGAACTGACTCGTCTGAGGTTACGGTGCCAGCTGTGATGAAGCAGGCTGTGAAGCTGCTTGCTGCACCGAAGAGTCAGACTTGTTGAGGAATACTGGCTTGAGTCGATCGACGTTGATCCTCTCAGTCTTACCATTGTGGTCAATGGGAAACGTCTTGTCGCTTCTGCGTACGACACGGTACGGGCCAGAATAAGGTGGCTGAAGTGGCCGGCGTAAGCTGTCAGTGCGGACGAACACGTGCTTGCAAGTAGCAAGCCGTTTGTCCACGTTTGTACGCAAACTCTGTGCTCTGGGTTGCACAGGCTGAAGCTGTCGCATGTGATGAGATAGGCGAGCTGCGTAGTCGCCATAGTCGAAGGTTGTTGGCGTTTTTGGTGAGACGAGTACACCAGGTAAGCCTTGTGTGCATCCAAAGACTAGCAACGATAGAGTGGCGTGCAAATCCGCTTTAATCGTGTTTCTTATGCCTAAGAGAACTAGCAGAAGTGCTTCGTGCCAGGATGTGCTAGATTGGGCACAGAGTGATGCTTTGAGTTGCCGGTGGAACCTTTCTACCATCCCATTAGCTGCGGGATGGTATGCGGTGGTTCGGTGATGTTGGCAACCAAGAACGTTGAGCAGTTTGCTGAAGGATCCGTCAAAGTGTGATCCTCTGTCAGTGGTGACAACGCTTGGGCAACCGAATTGAGCTACCCAGCGTTCTAGGAAAGCTTGCGCAACTGTCTCAGATGAGCAGTTGATTATCTGAGTCGCCTCTGCTCAACGGGTGAATCGGTCGATACAAGTGAGTAGGTACACGTAGCCTTTGCATGGAGGCAAAGGTCCGACCAGGTCGACATGGACGTGTGCAAAGCGAGAGTCAGGAGCGGGAAAGACGCCAAGTGGGCTTTTGGTGTGTCTGTAGACCTTGGCGCGCTGACACTCTAAGCATGCGCGTGCCCAAAGGCGGACATCGCGATTGACGTTGGGCCATACGAAGCGTTCTGTTACGAGCTTCTGCGAAGCACGTATGCCTTGATGAGACAGGTTGTGTAAAACGTTGAAAACTAGCCGACGCATCGAAGTAGGAACTACGGGTCGGGGAGAAGTTTGTGAGACGTCACAAAGAATGGTCCCCTCAGGTGAAGGTAGTAGAACTTCGCGTAGTTTCAACGAGGTGTTGCGTCGTAGCTTATCTATGTCAGAATCAGCTTGTTGGGCAGGAGCCATAGCAGCTAAATCATTGTTTGTGCCAGGTGATAAGCTGATCTGCTGAATGCGTGAAAGCGCATCCGCGACGGGATTGAGAGCAACTGAGACATGTACGTCTGTCGTAAACTGAGAAACATAGTCTAGGTGTCTAGTTTCCCTAGGAGAATACTTGTCCGTTGCGCCATTGATTGCGTAAATCAATGGCTTGTGGTCAGTGAAGACTGTAAAATGTCGACCTTCGAGATAGTGACGGAAATGTCTGATACCTAGGTAAATAGCTAACAGTTCCCTACCGAAGGTGCTGTAACGCGATTCGGCAGGTTGTAAACTTTTCGAGAAGAAACCTAGAGGTATCCATCAATGGTCGATGAGTTGTTGAAGAACTGCACCGACAGCAGTGTCGGATGCGTCAGTTGTCAGGGAGAGTGGTGCAGATGTGTCTGGATGGGCGAGAAGCGCTATGTTGGAGATAGCGTCTTTGAGCTTCTCAAAAGACAGTCTAGCGTCATCTGCAAAATGAAAAGATCGTTGTTTACCGCGGAGCAAGTCAGTCATTGGCTGAACCGTGCTCGCGCAGTTGGGAATAAAGTGTCTATAATAGTTGACCAGGCCAAATAATCGGCGCAACTGTTTAAAGGAACTGGGAGCAGCATAGTCCTTCAGTGCCTGGATTTTGTCTGGCAGAGCTTCGATACCAGAGGCAGATATGCGGTGGCCAAGGAAGTCTATGGAACTTTGGCCAAGCTCGCATTTATCGGGGTTGACGGTAACCCCATGCTGTGTTAAGCGTTGGCAGAGAACGTCGAGGTGACGAAGATGCTGCTCGTCAGAAGAGCTGGCGATGAGTATGTCATCTAAATAAGAGTAAACGTCTTCGAGTCCTCGCGTTACCTCATGAATGAAACGCTGAAAAGTTTGGGCAGCGTTGCTGAGGCCGAAAGGCATTCTGAGGTACTCGAATAGGTCGAATTTCGTGATGACTGCTGTTTTAGCAATGTCGTCTGGCGCGACAGGTATTTGATGGTAGGCGCGAACTAGGTCGACTTTGCTAAAGATAGACTAACCAGCTAGAGCCGAGGTCAAGTCGTGCATGTGCGGAATGGGGTATTTATACGGGACGGTAGCTTTGTTAAGTACCCTGTAATCATCACAGGGTCGCCAGTCACCGGATTTCTTCGACACCATGTGTAATGGTGATGCCCATGGACTTTTGGACGGGTGGATGAATCCCAGATCAAGCATTTGCTCGAATTCCGCCTTAGCAGCTTTGAGCTTGTCTGGGGCTAGTCGGCGAGGGCGGGCCGAAACAGGTGGGCCCTTAGTGCAAATGGGATGCATGACGTTTGCCGTCACAGGAGGCAAGTCGTTCAGGACGCGAACGAGTTTAGGATGCTTGCTGAAAAGTTCTATAAAAAGTTGTGAAGCTTGAGGTAGGACACGAATGGGAGTGATAGCAGCCACGTTTGCACTGGTCCCGATAACACTGAGCTGCGTCCTAGAGTCGATAAGCTTCTTCCGTTTAGCGTCGACGATGAGGTCGAAGCGTTGAAGAAAGTCTATGCCTATGATGGCGAAAGGCACGGCAGCGATTATGAAAGGCCAGCGAAAGGTTCGCCGGAGGCCTAAATTGAGCGTTAGCAGCCTTTCGCCGAAAGTTGCGATTGGTGTGCCATTGGCCGCGCGCAGCTTGGTCGGCGATGGCGAGACGACCTCATCTGGGCTACGGGGTATAACACTAACTTCGGCACCAGTGTCGACTA